GGAGGGGGTTGTGGGGCTTCTAAGGTCGAAGGACACGAAAGAAAAGTTAGCAGGAGTGGAGAAGCTGCAGGTGCTGATCCAATCAGAGGGAAAAGACTTCTCGGGAGCAGACGTGGCAGACCTGGTTGAGACGGGATCATTGCTTCTTAAAGACAACAACTTTAAGGTATGCCAAGGAATTCTGCAGGCTATGACCGCTGCAGTGCCGTTGATTGGCGATCATGTCAAGATTATGGGCAATGTCGTCATTCCCGGAGCGGTGGAGCGATTGGGCGATACAAAGCAACCAGTAAGGGAGGCAGCCAGGAAGATGCTTCTAGCTCTTATCGAGGTAATTGAACGTGTCACTTGACTTCTTTCCCCTTCTCTCTCTCTCTCTCTCTCTCTCTCTCACACACACACACACACACACACACACACACACACACACACACACACACACACACACACATAGTGCCAACGAAAACAGCGTTACATCCTGTCTTCGGCTTTTTTGTCTCTTCGATCAGATTTCTCTTCTTTTTCTTTTTCTTTTTCCTTTTTTTCCGGCGAAACAGCTGGGATAAACCTATTATTGGACGTGATGAAGTACCCTCCAGTAGTAGGTGCTCACTTGTAGATGGCTTTGATATTGATGGGGAGTGGCACCAGCTGGAAACCGGGTCCAGCGTCCCGAGGACAGAACAGTAGCCAATCGTGAACGAAAGGTGATGAGCAGCATTAATTTCTCTCTCTCTCGAGCGGATTCGTTGTCCATTGACCGGTAGAGGAAACAAATGATCCTGTAAATGGTAAAGCGACAAACCACTCACCTTATGTGGCAAGAATCATCGAACTGCCCCCAGCAGATCAAAACGATGAGTAGGTCAATCGACAGTCGATTGTACAACATCAGGCAGAGCAATAGCGGGGGAGAACAAAACACTTCAGCAGCCCCATCCAGATCTCCCCCCTGCATATTACTTAGTAGTATGTGAGCATCGAGTCAAGCGCACCCTCCCTTACTTCAGCAACAGCATGCAATCGCGAAAAAAAGGAGCCAATCGTCAACCAAGTTCCCCCATGGAGAGTCAAGCAAAAGCCCGACGAATCAAACTAACGGACGTTCGGGAGAAAACAAAGGATCAGCTATTTACAAAAGATCAAGATCATATAAAGGATAGAGACCGACGCAAAGTTACACCGTGACGTGTGGCGGGAAAGAAAGCATGTGTCCGAGGGGTCCTACCTCTGCATCAAGTATCGGACAGCTGCAAGCATCAGATCAATCGACGAACAGGTTGATCGACAGAAGCTGTGCAACAGCGCAGCAATCTATCGATAGGGCACGCTCCTCCCCCTCAATGCAATCGTGAAAAAGGTTCCAGACGGCAACCTACCTCCTCCATCGAACCAAACATAAACAGAAAAAGATAGCATTGTATCTACAGGTGGCCGAGGGCAAAACGAAGGATTACAGACGCAACGTAGAGCAATGCACGGAGGCCAAGATCTATCAAGAAGCAGCTGCGCGCGCCAGGGGAGAGAAGGTGCGTGCCGGACGGGTCCCCACTACCGAGCCTCTACCGACTCTCCCAAGCCGAGCAGCTCCGTCCTCGCAATGCATCACGTACGTGACCCAAGGCTTCTGCGAGACACTGCCCCCCCCCCCCCCCCCCCTTCCACACAGAAAGCCAAAACACACCGCGCGCGGGCAGTCGCAGAGAAGCCACCCCACCTCAGCAATCGGAGATCAAGAGTAGGAACCAAAGGGCAGTCGTAGAAAAGCCGAAAACCAAAGGGCAGTCGCAGAAAAGCCGAAATTGTTTCCGCTCCCCAGCGAACATGATCGGCAAGCAGTGCTCACTGCCTTTTTTTGCAGACGTCACTGTCCACTCCGCGGGGTGGCAAGCCACGGCAAGCGAACGAAAGAATCCTGCTCTCGAAGTCGGTGTAGGCTACCATCAGGGGCGTCAGGCGACGATCTATCCTCCCCTGAGCGCCTTGGAATGGCATAATCCGGTGTGGTCCCGTTGCAGGAGATTGCCGATTAGTGAAGGAGCTGCATAATCTGGGTGCCGCGCTCGGCAGGCTCGCCATGCACAAGAGGCACAAGAGTCTCTCTTCAACCACCTGAGACGGGCAATCCTCAGGAGCTGCATGATCCCGGGCCGCGCTCCGCCGGTTTGCCAGGCCCAAAACTCAAAACAATCAAGTCGTGCTCCAGAGGCAAGCAACCTTCAGGAGCCGCAGGAGCAGGTAGCAGCCAGCAGACAAGGGAAGAAGGGATCATTTGCATGCTGTGCAGGTCTTCGTCATGTCGATCGCCAGCTGAAATTGTCCCCTTCCATGAGCGCGCCTGACTGGTGGATGACTCCTGTAGGCAAATACTAGTAAAAGAGACGTGCTCGATTTGTTCGCCCCAGCATAATAGCAAAGGCAGCTCTCAACTCCGTTCACCAGTCTGTTGCAGTCCGCGATTACGTAATTCTGTAGATTGTCCATGCCGCTGCTCTCGTGAGCCAGAGTTTGCGTCCAGGCCATCCACGAGCCATCCACGAGCCGAGCACCTTCCCACCGGTGACGAATGGGATCTGGTTAGTAGTATGCTGATAGACAGCGTGCAACATGCGCTCGAGCAGGTCAGGACGAATCATTACGGCGCATCCCGTCTTTAATTGCCCCTTCCACTCTTTTCTCGAAAGGCGCTCTTGCGCCCTGCCTCACTCTGCCTCGTTGCCTCTACATGTTTGCCTCTCCGTCAATTCAGCTCCTTTCTTCTGCCCTGTGCTGCCAATATGATACAAGCAATCCGCCGGCAAGCGCAAGGAACGAGAACGTGGTCAGACAGAGGAAGATCTGTGTGTGTGTGTGTGTGTATCTTTGCGGGTGAGAGAGAGACTGTTTGTGTGTGTGTGTGTGTGTGTGTGTGTGTGT